TGAGGATAATAGGGCTGACAAGAAAAACAGTGTAGCCACATAAGCTTTCTTTTGGAAATTGTGTCGAAAACAGAAGTAACCAACCTTGTGCTTACATTTGAAATGTTTCATTGACATTTTAATCAACATTTGATTGAAAAAAAAAAGCCTGATACTAATTAAAGTCATCCCTCGAAAAAAAAAATCTGCAAGAAAGAATGAATTACTTTCTGTGTTTTAGGGAGCACCACTCTTACTAGTGGATAGAGGTGTCCATCATCACCAGGATTTAGAATCACAGAAGGGTTTGTATTGGAAAAGACCTTAAAGACCATCTGGTTCCAACTCCACTGCAATGGGTAAGGGCCCCCCCCCTAGACTAGGCTGCTCAAAGCCTCATCCAATCTGGTCCTGACTGTTTCCAGAGACAGGACAATTACCACCTCTCTGGGTCAACCTGCTCCAGTGTTTCACCACCCTCATTATAAAACTTCTTCATTATATCTTGTGTAAATCTGCCCTCTTTTAGTTTAAAACCATTATCCCTTAAACTATCACTAAGAAGTCTGTCCCCATCTTTCTTTTTTCCCTTTTGAGTACAAAAGGCCACAGTAAGTTCTCCTCAGGGTTTTAGACTGAATAACCCAAACTTTCTCAGCCTTTCCTCATAGTAGAGGTGCTCCAGCCCTCAAATAATTGCTGTGACCGTCCTCTGGACTTGCTCTGACAGCTCCATGTCTTTCCTGTGCTTAAGGCTCCAGTGATGGATGCAGTACTCCAGGTAGAGTCTCACAAGAGTGAAGCAGAGAAGGCAAGTTACCTCCCTTGACCTGCTTGCCACACTTGTTTTGTTGCAGCCCAGGACACAGTTGATTTTCTGGGCTGCAGGTGCACATTGCTAGCTCATGTTGAGCTTTCCATTGACCAGAACTCCAAGTACTTTTCCTCAGGGCTGTTCTCAATCCATTCTCCACCCAACCTGCAATTGTGCTTGGAATTGTCACAATCCAGGTGCAGGACCTTGCACTTTTTGAATTACATTTGGTTTGCACAAGTCCATCTCTGAAGCCTGTTAAGGTCCTTCTGGGTGGCAGCCCTTCCCTCCAGCATGTAAGACCACAGCCCTCATTTTGGAGTCTCTGACAAACTTGCTGAGGGCACACTCAGTGTCACTGTCCACGTCATCAAAGATATTAAAACGCACTGGTCCCAGTGCTGATCCCAGAGGAACACCACTTTTTTAAGGACTTCTAAAACTCTTTCACAGGGCTCCTCATTTAAGTGATGGGCACATATTACAACTTGCTACAATGTATCTATTTATAAAATACACCTTTGTGTGTGTGTGTACACACACACTTATAAACACTTAAATGGGTTAAAAAATGTTTATCCATTCACGTGGCTCCACAATAGTCCTCAGCATGGATTTTGCTGGCTGTTCACAAGATCAGAGACGAGCAAATGGTAACTCTAGATGAGCATGAAACAAGTATGCAGAAAAAAGTTAAAAGATCCTTTATAAGGAAATTATCTCTGATTCCCAATGTAAACCAACTTCATATTCTCATCCTGACAATAAATAACTGATACTGATCTTGTTCCATTAACACTGGCCTCTGAAACTACCTATCTCCTACAAAATTTTCTGTGGAGACCGGAACCAGCTAAACAGCATTGGAAGCACCACTGGTTGGAGGTGAGGAACTCCCTAATCAATCACAGATTCTTCTTTTGTCAGGTCTGTTCAAAAACATTTCTTCCACTGCATGGTAACAGATGACAGTGTGCTATATAACCTTTACCTTGGAGATCTGAAAGGGAAGGACCAAGAACTCATACCAACACGACTTCAGGGAGTGTTTCAATATTTTAATTTGTGTTGTTTTACAAGTATAAAAGAAAACTTATGTGTCAGATGTTGCATACTCTTACACATGTGAATAATCCTTACTGAACAATCTTTTGCATGACTCAGGACTATGCAAGTGAGTACAGTTTTTAAGAGCAGCCCTATGCCTTCCATTGAACACATACGCCTCTAACATTCCCAAAGGAGAGTACAGCTACAGTAAGCTCACAGCAGACCTGTCATTCATAAATGTATCTATATAATTCATAGCTAATACTGTCCTCTCAGTGCAGCCGCTGGATGTACTGGTAACAACTCTGTCTGGACTGTCATTATCCTGAGGAAAAAACTGCCTCTCCTAGCACACGTTAGAAAAATAAAACATGGGTCCTAACAGAATATCTTTGTCTCTATGACTCCCTCTCACACCTTCTTTCTACTAGCAATGGCAGCACAGGGGGATCAAAACACACACACATACAGCAGCAATATTGCTAGGTAATCTGCACTCCACGCTGTGGTGACATGAGGCACAACAAAAGCAAAGGCCCTCACGTCCATGCAGTGTTTAACCTGTATTTGATTAGTCTGCACAACTAAGGCAAAACCATATGACAGTAACATAAACCATACAAATATTTCCTCCCCCCTTCTCATAACAGCGATCTAAATATTCAGTTCCCCACGCATGCACTGCAGGATACTGGTATAAAAATAGGAAGTGATGTGGCACACTCTCAAAAAATACACATACACAGCAGTATTCATCATCAGTATGTGAAGTTAAATGGTACTCACTATGTACACACTGGACTTCTGGCTGTGTAAATCTCCTTCTGTTGACTTCAGTGTCACAAAGATTTCATTGGCTGAGGTTTGTGAAGAGTGCACAGTTTCTAAATGGCAAAATCACAACTGCACCATCATTTAGAGGGCCTAAAGTCTTCTTTAAAAGGAGAGCTCTCTCTTTAGATGTGAAGTACTTCTACACATGAAGCCACCTTTCCTCCCCCTTCCCTGGAAGGCTAACATTTCAGACTTAGGTACATCTGTAGATAGGCAACAATTCCCTGATTATTGAAGAGTATCCAAGTATAAAGTCAGTATTGGCTAAGAACATCTGAAAATTTGGCCCTGTGTGCTGAACTCTGCAGGTTTAGAAGCAAGGGTCATATTCTCACTTGCTCTTTTATCTCGTTACTGAAAAAAAATAAATCTGAAATATTCTCCTGCATTTAGAAAAGTATAGGGAAATCCTACACTGTACTACTACATATAGAAGTACAGAGAAACACTGTAGTGTCTTCAAGGAGTCATTTCACCATTCGGTGCTCCTCAGAGGGAGAAACTAGAGCAGAGATGTTTGGTGTCTTCCCCAGACACATGAGGTACGTCCCCAAGGCAAGCTTAGGCCAAAAATTTCCCTTTATCAACCACCAATAATTTAATGAGATCTACAGACATATACCAACCACAGACATATATTAAGCAAAATAGAAAACATAATACCGTGATAAAACTGAAATATGAAGACACTCATTTACAGCGCAGTAAAAAAAAATTAAAGCAGCTTAGCACTTTTCAGCATCGCATGTGACAAATTTCACTATAAATTACCTCAGATCTGAACAGGAGACACTTCTAATACAATGATGCTGATGCTATGGAAGAACTTCACATACTCCATGACGACAGGAGGGAGGCTAAGCTTTGGTCACTACAACAAGATTTGGGTCCTAAATTACTTGTTTCCACTGCAGTCATAATGTGCAATACTCAAAATGTAAATACTCAAGGTGCTAAGCAAACAAAGTGCAAAAAGTTTTCATTTAATTTTTGAAAACAGAGTTGGTTTGGTGTATGTCCACTAAATTCTTGGGTGCTTATCTGCTAAAGCTTCATCAGCAACTTACAAAATACAGAAACACTTTTCATGTTATAGTCGTGATATAGTGCATAGAATAAAAAGTCAACTACTTCAATTTCCTCTTTCAGATTTCAAGCCTCTGGTACTTTTGAGGTAAAGAAGTTAAAGAGTTTTTAGCAACGGGTATTTAACTAACCATAACCACAGCCACAAAAAGAAGGACTCAGTGTCTTCTGTCCCCATGTAAGAAGTCACTGCGTTGCCTCCTTGGTGTACTAACCACCCCCTTAACGATCAGGCTAGTGCTCATCTCTTAACTGCAGCCATCTAAAAGAGAGACAGATAGTAAAAAACTAATTTTATGGGCATCTGGTTAACACTGAGTAACAGGTCTCCAGAGAATTATTCATATCACTTCTCTTAGAGAACATGTTAAGATGGGTTGAATTACTCCCTGGAGATGTGCTCTGGAGTGCACCTACATGACTAGTTCACACTATCTGCCCAACTTCTAGATATTTGAAACTATATAAAGTAAACACCACTTTAATATCAGACCATCACAAAGTATTAGATAAATGGCAATGTCAGAAAAATGAGCTATTCCAGGACATTACAATTAATGTGTTAAATTTAATTCCCTTACGGACAAGCAGCAAATACGAAGGGTAAAACAGTGCGAAGCCAATAAATAACCCCTCTGTCTGTTCTCAGTAACAGTCACATTTCAGTATTAGTGCAGGCTAATTGGCCCTGTGTTGGCAACCTAGACTATAGTGCATTGTAGAAGTCTAATTCTTATACCACAGAAGGAAGTATTATCTTATTACACTGATTAGAGTGTAAAAAAGTCTACAATTGAATCAAAGCAGACCGCTGCTACAGTCAATATGTAGTCAAAGTCTATGCTCTGTTTCCATGCTAGGGTAGCATGCCATAGTGACACCCCATCTGCAATAAAATGCATTTCCCTCCATCCTCAGATTTCCTGAGTAAGATCAAGCCAGTTTCTTAAGGATGTTGCCTATCATGATTTCAAAACAAGCATGTGACAATAAACATATGTGCAAAGAACTTTGAAACAGAAGTCTATAAACAATGCTGTCTGTACACAAACACACACGTACTCATACACCAAGTTTTTCACAAGGATAGGCTTGTCAGTGTTCATGCAGTGCTAGACCTGCAAGAAAGAAATCCCATCCACAAGACATAATTTCCAAGGTACATAACATTCCCAGCAGGTGATCTGCCACCTTCCAAAGGCACCTACTTGCTTGCACCTACTTGCTTCCAGTTGTACTAAGCATTAGAAGAAACACTTTGATAAGGATTCCCCTTTTGAGAATCTGCTGTCTTGGTACCGCTCCATGCTTCATCAGTATTTTCAGGAGTTTTCACCTCTGCCTTGTTTGTCAGTACGGTGGATTTGGGAGGCTTACAAATAAAGCAGAGGAACTTGAAACAGGAGAGGAAAGCTTCGGAAATGCTGGATGAGAAAAGCTTTTTACACGGGTGGCAGAACTGGTAGAATACCAACATGAAGAGGACAGCCATGCAGTAGGCTATCAGGAGCTGCAAGACCAACAACGGGGCACAGACATACAGGTAGACATCTGTTTTGTAGATGTACCACATCAGCAGGAGGAACGCGTTCTCAACGAACCGCAGCATGTAATACACGGTCAGCCGGTACCAATTTTGGGATTTATTGATTAAGTCAGGATCATTGAGCTTCACCTGCACTGCCGACCAGCAGAACATGTTAATGCCAGCATACAAGAAGGTGAGAAGGCACAAGACAATGGTAGTGCCAACCCTGGTCAATGCCTTCTCTATGTTCTCAGGAAATGGAGACTTGCTTTGCCAGAAGAGAATCCACGGGTAGAAGAAAAAACCAAAGAAATTCACGAGCACAACGGGGAGAGTCCAGATTTGAAGGACTGAACTGAAAAGGACCAACACCGTAACGCGTGTAGCAATCTCAAAGCTTCTCCACATGAATATGCAGAGGTAGGCAGCTGGTTTCACGCTGACGTCATAATCATCGTACTTAATCTTAATAGCCAGGATGTTGCAGCGTAAGGCACCATATACAATTGACAGGAGAGAAAGGACCATAAAAACACCTACAAAGAGAAAACACAAATGAGAACCTTCAGCTTAGCAGAAGTTAAAGACATTGCATCAGAGCAGTGCAGATGTAGTTGTCTTCATGGCACTTCTGGGGATTCCCAGCAGGGTGTAACTCCAAAAAAGCCATCCCTTGTATACACTTCTGGGTTCTCACTCTAACCCTGCCTCCCATTTTGGTATCCATTTGTTTTCAAGTAGCTAGAAAGAAAAAGAGGCACTTAAGAGTTACAGGTGTTTCTCCCTGCTCACTCTGCCCAGGGTTGCTCATACATCTCAGACTCTCACAGTGCTCCAAGAAGGCACAGGGGTGCTGCTCCTCTGCTGTAAAGATAAAGAACTGTGAAAAAGGAGCTGAAGTTTGGAGTTGCTTGGGCAAGCAGATGTCTCAGTGCTTGTGAAGTTCCATCTTTAAGCAAATTGTCTAAGCTCGCAAAAGAGCTCTGTGATGGAGCTCAAAATTGAAAGTCAAAGCAATTTAAACACAGAACGATCTGCAGTGTCTCTGCCTGTGCAGACAGAGATTTGCTCACCCATGTACACTGTGTTCTTCTATACATTTACTTCCCTCATACACTTACCTGTATTACGCATTTGAAAGCAATACTCCTTTGAACTTTGCACCTCTCATCTACCCAGAATCCCTCAAGTGAAGGTTTCATGGCATTTAAATTCTACAGAAATGAAGGCAGGGTCCAGTTGTTACCTGGCCTCTCCTGCACAGATGCAGTAGGGACAAAGCTTTCTGGCACTCCAGAAGGGAGTTTTGTCTTGCTACGTACATTAAGTAGGTGCAGACCTGTAAGAACCCTAGGTGCACAGAATAAGCATACATGGAGACATACCGTGACATTCAGAAGGGCTAACTGTCCATGATTTTGTTGGCATTTGCATATTTTTATCACCACACTGAACAGATTATTTAGGGGATTAATTTTAGGTGTTCCCCAATCAATACTTTTAGTTTCAATCTTAGCACTTTTTCCATGCAAGGAACACTCCAAACACAAATGAGTAAAGCACAGTAAAATGATTCAGTTGTTTCTTCAGTTGTTTCTTTTAGAGTTTCAGTGAAACTAACAAAGCTAACTGGTTATGCTAAAGGGCATCATATAAAACAAATTAATCAGAGTTGGGAATTCTTGATTACGTCAATTACTTTTCCAATGCTTAGCAACTAGTGCTTTCTGCAGCCTTCAATTAGTTTATGTGTCAATAACCTACAAATGAACTGGGTTGTCTGCTTTGCCATAGCTATTTAGCCTGGACTGTAAGGGTTGTTTTCTAATGAAAGTTATTAACTTCTGACCATGACTTTGAAATAAACAAGTGTATTTTAGGATCTCTAACAACTTTCTAAGAGGATTTTCTCTATCATTTTAGCTAATTTCTCTCCCATCTCAATCCTCAAACACCTCTGAATTACTTTGGAAAATTATTAATTAATCATTTATATCTAAATTTCCAATAGCACTTAGTAAGCTAAAAACCACTGGCCATTTTATATGGTAATTTTATACATGCCAGTTTGGTGGTGCCTGTATTCTCTGAATATAGTAATGTATTTGCTTGGCACTTAAATTTTTAATATGTTTAGAAATGTCTTTTTTACAGTACTGTACTTGATCTGAAACTTTTTAAACATAATGTCTTAGAACACACTGGCTGAAAGCAGAAAGGCAAGCAAGTGAAGTCAAGAATACTACTTAAAACACTGTGGCCCTTCACACAGTCTTTCCTGTAGTTTTGAGCTGTCTCAAGAGCTGCGAGAGAAAAGATAACTTCCATCAGCTAATGAAGCAAAATAATATTCTCAGAGCTCAAGAATACCAACCCTACCCACTGGGCAGAAGGTGCTCCTGTCCTGGAACTCTGATAGGCTAAGACTTCAATTTTAGGGTTTGTATATTAATCTCAAACTTGTCTTAAAAACTCAAGTCTTTGAAAGAGACACTTCACTACTGATAGAAAACAGCCATGGATTACTCTGCTTTAACACAGTTGTCCAGCCCTGCTCCTTTCTCAAAAGCACAGCACTGTCACCATATTTCTCAGTTGAAACACCACTTTCAGGTCTGTGAGAAAGAAGGTTTGAAGCAACCACAAAGGGAAGTGCGGGAGAGTGATGTTGCTTTTACTTACCCTGAACAGGCAAAGAAGTGAAAATTTAAAAGGCAAAGTATCTTCTTTTGGAACAATCCCAAATCTCTTAACAGTCCTCATAAAAGTGGTGTTTCTTTTCTTCCTTCTTACTCCCAGAAGGCTAAACTTCTCTTACAAATCAGAAATGCACACTCAAGAGAGTCATTCAGGGAGGCTTTGTTTTACTTTGTCGGATTTTTTAATTGTGTTTTAAGTCTTTTCAAGACCAGGTCTTCCCCACTTCAGAGATTGTTAATAGAGTGAATTCTGTCCTAGATGAGCTATGTCACTAATATCTATTACTGAAGTCTTACAATCAGCTGAAGAATAACAAAGTTTCTATTATATATACATTATAGTTTATTAAATTGATAATCAGGACCCGTGAAAAGCAAGAGCACTTGTTTGGTTACTTAGGACAAGATACGTAGATACAATTATTTTTGCCTTAAGATATAACAACTTCAACACTTAAAAAAACCTATTAATACTCAAAAAGTACTTAATGTATGTTGTTCAAACAATGAGAAAAGTATTCTGTGGTGAGAGCTTAGTGAGTTGAGGAGAAGCAACTGTAGAAGGACTGCAAGATACCTGGCAAGACCACCTACAAAACACACTTTGTAAACCTTAGGAAAGAGACACTGCAAACACCAGTAAATTGGAAAAACCCAGAAACTCAAAGCTTCTATTCTTGAAGATAGCAGTTGCTGCTCCTATTTTAATTTTATTTTTTTTAAATGCATCTGTTGCAGCAGGATGATTTTATTTTTAAATGGTAGGAAATCCACCTGTTAAGACTATTTTATTACTTTAAGCAACACTTGAAAAACATAACTTGACTGCCAAACTTGACTGCACAAAAAATTAAACTCAGGAAAAGATTGCTCTTAACAGAAGCAGATTTTCTTCAATGCTGCACAGCAAGAACAGGCCCTTTTCAAGGGTAAGAGGCCAAGTCACACATTACCCGCCTCCAGCTAGCTGGTTTTGTAATTAATGCTAACTCAGATCTTTTTGGCACCTCCTGGTCTTGTGCTTCTTCAGGTGGTACTACCTAAGTGAAGAGGTCTGGTGGAGTGTGTTAAGTGGACCTGGGAAAAACCATGCTATGTAGCACGATGGCTACGGAATCCAGGAACTGATGAAGGATTGATGAAGAGAGATGAAAAAATGTGGAAATCAAAACAGAAGAAAGGGATAAATGGAAGGTGCAGTTTGGAGGACCAGCATCAAAAAACAGGCAAGTTGAAGACATCTAAGTGTGGAAGAAGAGCTGGACTGGCTGGTAAATTACTTTGATGATACTGCAAGATTAAAAGGTTGAAGTCATCTCACTGTATGAGAATCCCTGCATACAAATTGCAAACAAGAAGTTGAAACTATGTTACGGATCATTCTTGTTTACACTGGAGGCTGAATACTGCTGATGGACAAGAGGTATTACTGCAGAAATAAGCTACAGAAAGCTTCAATATTTCAGAAAGTAAAATATACACAAGAGGAATACACTTAGTTGTGGTTTGGTTTTGTTTTTGTTTTTTCTGATAAATGAGCTGTAATAGACATTGCCATTGTTCCTAAATCACTGATTAAAACAAAACAAAAAAAACCCAAACAACAAAAACCCAACACATTTTTTTTCCTTTTCACTTCTATATTTCAGAATTACACCTGCTATGGAGCTGGGTTCTGGGAGATATGAGATGACTACTGCATTTTCTGGTGGGCTCACTGAACTCCTTGGTAAGCCAACTTATCTTTGGTTGCTTAATTTCACTTCAACTGCAGAAGGTCACTTACTAGTCTGTGATTCAAAATTTATTTGAGTAGTGACCGACACAAGTCAGAAGTCACAAAACATTATTAAATATGCAGTTCTCTAATCATCTGGAAGACAGTGCTTTTCCTTGGCTATCATAACCATCAAGGTCAACAACAGTAACAGAAGAAACACAATAAAAAGGTGACCTTTCTTAAGCAAATGTCATCTGCAAACAAGTGACTGGAAATTTTGCTAATTTGCCACTCAGCAAAGGATTCAGCTGCTTTGTTTGCATCCCAGGTCACAGGTGCCACAGTTATTCAAAGAGCTTACCTCAGTTGTGAAGTACTCAAACTGTCAGGAGCAATGTCTTTCAAGGAACTACTCCTGTGACCTTCAATAAGTACTTTTGTATTAAGACCTGTTGTAATATCCTTGTGCTGACTCACCCTTTGGCATGCTAGTTTTCCATTCCCTGAGTTGAGGGGAGAACCCTGATGTTATTAGAAAGGTTAATCCAAAAATCTAGTTCCTTACCATGCTGCACTGCCAACCAAGGCACCAGAACTGAAGAAAGTGTTTAAATTCATAGCATGTCAACCCAAGTATGCTACAGGAAGCATCATAGTCTAAAACGTGATGATACACATTAACTTGAGAGCAACATCACCACCAAAAGCTATCAGGAAGATGAAACCCATTGCAATATGTTTGGTTCTTGCTCAGGGCAGCTACACATGGTTGCTGACCCTTCTCTTCTCCCTCCCACCAAAATATGGAGGTGATAACAACAGCTGTACCTACTTCTGGCAGCTGTGATCTCCTGCTGCAAGACACAGATGTAGAGCTGGAGTGTGAGCTGGGGTGCTGAGCCGAGGAACGCTTGGATCACAGATGCCCTACTGAATGCAGACCTGTGTGTACACAGCTTGCCTTCAGCCTGGCCCACTTCCTTCTCAATTTCTTCTGAGTACCCATCCTTGGGCATCTGTCTCTTCTTCGTGATGCTGACATAGGGCTCTTCCACTCGGCCAGCATGGAAATAAATGTAAAAGACTTCCACACACCTACAAGGAAATCATTACATAGAGTAACAGGAAAAAAAAATGCACATATATTAAAAAATACGCAAAAAACCATAGGTTTTCCCACTCCTTATCAACTTAAGCCATCACGTACTAAGTCATTTTGTTTACAAAGCAAAGCCTATACATTTTCTTCTGGTAAGCTTGGAATATGATGGATTTCACGCTTTAAACTATAAACTACAGGTGACTAGAGGGCAAGAATCTGGCAGTGCCCTTTGGGCTGCTTGTAGCACACAGTCACAGAAGGTTGTTTAGTTATTTTCCTGAGCTGCAACTGCTCTCTGTTGTTTTCCTGAAGTCCTCAAACTACTCATTGGCTCCCAACACAGGACCTAAGTTTCTCATGTCTTTCTCTTGGTGCTGTCTGTGCATGTGATGTGGCAATAAAACCACGTCTCATACCTTTGCCTTAAACAATCTCAAGCCACTGGGGAGAAGCTCAGGGTACAAGTGGGTGCACAAACCTCAAAGAGCTGGACTCTAGTCCTTGCTTTATCAAGCAATTGTTCCAAAACACAAGTAAAAAGCCACAGCAGAAATAATGAGAACAAGCAGTTTAGAGCCTCATGACTGGATATTAACATTTTTATTTTTGAAAGACACAGAAATATGAACTTTTTCTCCTTATGTTTGCTTACATTTATGGCACTGTTTAAGCAAAACTAAACAAAATCTTGCAAAAATACCCTAAATAAGAAGATCCCGTGTTTCCAGTTGCTGCGGCTCCTTGTACTTTAAACACAGATGAACCAAACTCTCTTCTTTATGTAGGTCTAACTTACCCCAGATAACTTCCTAAGAGAAAAAAAAGTGGTGCCAGCACATTTCTCTTCATAAATTACATACAGATGTAATACACACTGCCTCTCCCCATGTACATCCATACATCTGGGAGGGTATGGAAAAGGCCTAAAGGGGATGGCAGCAGCAAGCACTGTAGCAACAAGGACAACTTGTCTCCTTGAGTATTAAAGAAGATAATGCAGCCTCAGACACATTTATGAAAGAAAAGTTCCTGAAACTGCCTGTCAATGCCTATTTTTAGCTTGGCAAAAACTATTGTAGGAGAGTTGCTTGGGTATGAAGGTGTCAAGGGTGGGCTTGGGCATCAAGTAGGACCCAAAACGCAAAGGAGAACAGTCAAACTTGTCTGGGAAGTAATAACAAGCAGGGAACTACTGATGTTCAGATGAAGCCACACGCTGAGGGTGAAGGGAGAGGAAAGAAATGCTGTTTCTGTGACATTGCACAAACTCCTAAAAATACGGGGTCTGCTGTACAGAAGTCCATGTACAGCAGGAGCATAAAGGATAAATGGCACTGACTACTGAAAAATAAAACTCTAAGAACCCAAACCCAATGCAGACACAAACTGTTTTCGCTTTTATGCCTAACACTGGTTAGGGCTTCAAGAAGAAAAAACTGTTGTGTGAGCGGTAGGACTGGTGAAGTCTGGCTCCCAGCCCAGAGAGAAGCTCAGGGGAAGAGAACACCCCATCACAAGGGTGACCTGTGACACCAGCTCTAATCACATCTTGCATAGCATCTTCTTGGATAGATATCATCCTCTGATGAGGACTGAGCTGCCTTCTTTCCTTCCATAGTGCCTACTGGTGCTCATCTCCTCCACCTGGTTGACTCAGCAGGTAATACTTCCCATAGTACAGTATCTTCAAGTCTCTGACAGGTCAGATATGGCCAGTGAGTTTTTGTAATGTACTGGTAAGGCTTATCTTTTATTTAGAAGTATCTCACAATCACAAAGCATGGAGCTAGACTTGTCTGAGACTTTAAAATTCCCATCTCCTCAGTTTGTTTTTTCCAACAATTGCCAAGTCAGTCTAACAAAGCCTTCTAGAAGAAAGCTCACAGACTGAATTGCAAAGCAGCACTGATAGAAAACCAAGTAAAAGCATACTTATTTTTGTTTTAATAAACTTGATTTCATTTTTACCCTAACTGGACCACTAGCAAGTTCCACCTGCCCTAGACAGAGAGCATTTTCAGGACCCTGTATTACCATCCTTGATTCACTAGGCTTTAGCTACTATTATCAGTACAGATATTTGAAGCTTTAGAACGGAGGTTCTACTCACAGCGGCAACTTCCTATTTTCACCTTGCTCATCTTCTCAGTCCCTACCAACCTTACTCCATGTGAAAGAATCCACACAGCCAAAAACACTGTGTGAAAAATTATTAAAGCACAACAGCTTATAAACCAACAGAGGTTTTGAAACCAGAACGTTTTTGTCTCACTTAGTATTCACAGCCATCTCTTCATCCTGAACTGAGGTAAGTCTGAAGCTATTACAGCAAATGAGACCTCAGCATCAGTCTCTACATATTTGCCATGTGTGATTAGAAGCAGATATAGTCTAGGGACTCATTTAAAAAACATGCAGTAATCCCATGGAAGAGATTATAAGAATCATAAAACTACTGACTATAGCAAATATTATAATCAGCAAAATGTTGGGTTTTAGAGAAAGCATTTGATTTGTATTTATTAGCTAGGTATTAAGAAGCAGAATGTCGTTTGTGATGGGAAATTTTATGTCCATACAGAAACGCAAACACAATGTGAAATGAATTGTCTGATGAGCAAACCTGGGGGCAAAAATAGGACTTCAACCAGCACAACAGAGTAATAAAAATGGTATGTGCAAGCATTCAGATTATGTCAGTAATGATGCCCATCTTCTTCCAAACCCTGTCTATCCCATGCAAGAGTGTCACTGGAGGTCATGCCTTCTCAGGCCAATAACAAATGTACTCAAGATTCTAGCTGGTGCCACTGACCAAGCAACTGCTTCAAACAGGAGGAGACTGGCAGCTGATAAGCTAGAACAAAAGAGCACCAACCCAATGTTTTAGTAATGTTTAACCAAACCAAATGTTTTAGTAATAATGTGTAAGAGGGGCACAGGCACTTGAAGAACTATCCAGGTGAACAGAACAGTGATGAAGAATCAATTCAAATCACGTACCTGTGCCATGTTATGACTTTGTCTACAAAGCGCATTCAGAAAGTCTGTCTTTGGATGAACTGGCTTATTATTTTTTAATTTGAAACACAACTGAAAGGCAATGCAAGAAGGTGATTCAAGCTGGTTTTTCTCCACAGCTACAAACTTCATTACAGAACAGGGAATTCTCCAAAAGCTCCAGCTATTCACTGCTCTTTGCAGCTCTGCTCTGGAGGAACAGGAATAGGTGATTCCAACTTCTGCACAATCCAACTCCCGCAATGTCGTGATATTTAGGGCCCTTTTAACAGATTCTCACATGGTATCAACAGCAGAAGGCATGCAGCTGGTTGGTAAAGCAATGACAATTGCAGCACAGGCTCTGAAGGAACTAAAATTACTTTGAAGAAAAAAAAAAAAAGTCAGATCTACTCTCTACAGTGAAAGTTAAAAGTTAAGAAAAAGAAGGTGCTGCTTTCTCCCCTGCTGTCAAATCTTGGCAGAGAGAAAAGCTACACTTTTTCAAGGATCCTGATGGTGCCTACAATGAATGATTCAACAGCAACACATTCACCTTCCACACAGTCAGTAGGAGGAATAATTCTGTCCTTATATGCCTGCTGAGAGCAGGCACCTTATTCCCTCTTTTAATCAGGGATGTGTGGGATTGAAACACAGGCAACATAATGGTGGTGTGAAGAGGGAGCAGGCAGTGAAAAACAGGGAACTTCCCACAGCCAAAAGCGCTTCAAGAGCAAACACCTATTTGAGAGACCTATCCACACATGCTCACTGCAAACGTACAAGCAGATTTCTCTAATGACTCAATTTTTAGTAATTCCTCTTATTTAGAGAAGTGTGCAAAAGACTTATCGGTCTGGTGGATTTACTTACCTGTGTCAGTCAAAGATTTGTTCCTCCCTCATTGTTCTACCTTCCATCTGCACTGACTTTCTGTTCATCGCATCTTGGACACCTAACACATCTGCTCAAGAATAAAGAAAAAAAAAAAAAAAGCCTGAAGAGGGTCTAGGCATATTCTTCCCATCTGGAAAAGAGGGAGATGCATCAACAGTTGTAAAGTTTAGACCTAGAAGAATCTCCTACAGTATGGTCTGCCAACAGACCTACAAGGAAGAGAGCTTTTCAGACCTTGCTATTCTGAACTATAAAGCAGGTCACTAAGAAAGACAGACTGCCCACAAGAGACAATGCTTCTTCACAATGTGACTGAAGCATTATCTGCACCAGTTGTAGCTCATCAGATTTCAAGCTGAAGAATTAGATGCCCAAAACATTAATGACTCTGATAATTTCAGCCTACAGGTGGTTTTGTTTTGTTTCCTTTTGTTATTCCTGCAGCTCACATAACCTAACTTTGGCAGCAGCTCCACGGGCAGTCTGATGCAAACTTCCTACAGCATGTGCTTAGCTGATGTCTACATGGTACATAGACACGTGTAATTGTTTCTCCTTATGTCTTGAGAAACAAAGCCTGACCCCATTTAAGAAAAAACATAACAAGACAAAACAAAAGACTATTGTTTATATCCTCATCCTATTTAAATCAGAGGAAAAGTCACTAGTGTTCTGTATAGGGGCCTGTCATATCAGCCTTCGATTTGCATCTCAGGGGAAGTTCACCACCCTGCAGACAGAGCCATCTCCTGCTTATTCCTCCTAAGGCAGAACCTGTAGGCCCACATTCAGCTAACAGAGCACTAGGGATGGTAGTTTCAAAGACACAAGAAGTCCCTCAGCTTTCAGAAGGAAGCACTGCCAAATTCACACCAGTCCCTTCTGGATACAGCACTTGAGTACTGTCTTCAGTAAATCGGATAGTAAGGAAGCACTGCATCCAGTGGGCATCCAGCACACGTATGGAACAATACCACCCACACACCTTGCTCGTGGCTGGAAGCTCTGACCGCTCAAGTCAGTTTGTTGGAGATCTGCACTCTTCTCTTTAGCTCCTGACCTATTCATTGCTTGCAGAATAGAAAAGGGCAAGCAAGTTAACAGGGGTTTCTCTGCCACCCTTCATGAGGAGCTTTTTGGATTTGACATGCACAGCAGTACACTAGCAAAAATACATCCAATGTGTTGGTATTGTAACAGCACTTAAAACCTCAAGACAGTGTCAATGCTACAGGTGCTGTCCAAATGAACAGGGAACAAATAAAGAGTCCTTGGCTCCAGAGAAGCCAATAATGAGCCAAAAAGCTCATCATGGTCTTCTCAAAGGGAAACAAAAATGTATTGAATCTCTCATTGACACTGGCTTTCATTCAAAGTATTTTTGTGTGTGTGTGTATAATAATTAACTTTACATGGTAAAAGTTTTGTCTCTCCTTTTACAAAAAGATAAAGTATCCAAATATATTTTCTAAGCCTCTAGACAAACTGGTGCTTTTACAAGCAGCAGCACTGACCTGAAATGCTGCAGGAAACACCCATGGTGCCCAGAAACCTGCAGTCAGTTTGTTCCAGCCAACTCTCTGAACAGCCTCCAGCATGCCTACATCCTGGAGGTCAGAGCCAGGCCAGGAAGGCGGGTAAGAATTTTACTCTACAAATTGCTCCAAATTTATAAAGAGACTAAGGGAGTGGGAAAAGGAACGACAAAAAAAAATGATTGCATTAACAGTATTCTCCCAATACAGCAAAAGTCCTCTACAGGAAGAGGGATGTTTCCTAATTTTAGTGCTTCCCGTGGCAGCAGCAGGACAGCAAGTGCCTCCTAAACAGGTGGAGTGTGGGTGTACAGAGAAAGTGGTGGCATGCAAGAAGGTTCTATAAGATAAAGTACTTTTTTTCCCTGTCACACAGACAATTCAAAATAGGCTGGATCATTTGGCTTGCAAAGCTAAATACCCTCCTTTCTTGCCAAGATATTTTCATGCCATTCCCCAGAATTTAAACTTAACCTTTTAAGGGGAAAAGGGAGAAAAATGTCTAGCTTTGAGATGAAGAAGAAAACGCACACAACAGAGATGGGTTGTATGTAACCAGTGCACTGATCTGAGTCTGAAGAGACAACAACCAACGATCCTTGATCACATCACAAACCAAACAGGGATGGTTAAAAAGCCAGTGCTGGCTTTTTTAAAGCCAGCCGAAGCACACTGCCCTCAGTTGAAGGACTGCACCTTTCACAGCCTACAGGCTCTTTAACATGTCATTCTGGTGCTGCAAGCGGAGACAGCCTGGAGTGCCTCTACTGTCTGTGTGTCCAATTGGACCTAATTTGATCCAGCACTCCCTAAAAGGCCCTGGGCAGTGCCAGTGAGAACCAAGAGAGTCTGAACACGAGAGGATGGAGTGAAGCTTCACACCAGGGAAGCATATAACTAACAGCAGCAGCTCTCTGGTGCAAAGGAGCAGAGGTTTGCCTAAAATGATGGGAAGAAAGGACTCCAGGGACAATGGACCTTTTCAGTTTACAATAGTTAAAGCCACAGCAAAGTGATGATACAGCCACAAAATATTTTGCCTTCTAGCTATCACATCAGACCTGTGTGTATTCCAGTCCACACAGGACAGAGAGCCTCCAGTGCAAAGTAGGGAAATGTGAGGTATTTCACACGTTGGAAACACTTCAACTTTTACAGTGTAGATCTATACCTGATGGGAAGCAGTTTCCTCTTCTGATAGACACAATGTTAAGTGGCAGTGGATAGGAAGACAAAACATAGGAAAAAAAAATTAAAAAAAATCTTTAATGTCTCAGACCAATCACTTCACCTTCCCCCACTTCTACAAATAGACATGTTTCCCTGAAACTGAGGAGAGGTTGTTTTCCATGAAAACTTTCCTCTAGTTTGTACAGTCCTTCCAGCCTTTAGCAGGAAATAAGTTTTTCAGGTGGCATGAATGCACTACCCTCTTTTTATTAATAATTATCATCCCAATTATTCTGTGTCTAGAGAGAGGTTCACATGCATTGCTTTGTATTCCCAAAATAACGTCTGGAGACTGTGGCATAGGCATGCTGCAGTTCTTCTAAAACATCTTAAAATCTCTGGGAAAGGTTCATGTTGTAAGTCTTTGAGAAAGCAAAAATGCAGAGCTGGCAACACACTCATACACTGCAGCATCGAGGAGAGGGCTTCTGTTTGCTCACTAGTCTCACAGCAGCTGGGAGCTCGCCAACACAGCAGAAAGCGTGTTGTGCACAAGATGAGACTTGTGCTGTAAACAGATAAACTTGATGCTGAGAAAGAAAGTGAAATAATGCTTGGTAGCTAAGGTCAAAGCAGAAGTCTGTATCTTTTCCAAATAATTAGAAAGAAAATTGTCTAATTTGTTGCTTACAACCTTTGTTTGTTTCTTCCCAGCTTGCAGCTTGACATGGCTTGATTTCTTCGATTCCAAGAAATTAATTGAGAATGACAAAAATAATGAATATAACTTTTAGTTTGATAGTTGCTTTCTCTTTGGTTCCACTTGTATTTTCCAAATAATGCAGGAGTATTTTGTTCCTAGCTTTTAGAAAGTCAGAGCTCTTAAAGAACTTAACTGTTAAGCCGTAACTTAAGTCTCTTTAAAATAGTAACAAAACAAACAAACACAGATACTGTTATAGAGGAATTCAGTATTTTGAACTGTAAGATGCTTGGTAACATCCAGACTGTTTACCCTTACTTGTGTGAAGAAATCTTCCCTTTCCACACTGCCCAGGAATTTAAAAAAAGTTGAGGATACTTCTCCCAGCCTCTACTACAAAGAGACTATACTTAAATCCTTAAAAAAAATAAAAAATCAGATAATAAATTTAAAACTAAAGCCCCCAGCACATGTTTTGTCATGGTGTTGCACCACGTCTGTAACCCTTAATCTATTCTTTTTTTTTTTTCCTAAGGATATTTTCAGTCAGAAGCTGAACTGAAGCTGAAAAACCTCCCAAACAACTTGGGACAAGAAGCTGACTTTCAGAAAGAAGAGGCAGACTAAAGCATCAGTGGTACTTCCCCAGACGCACAGATGGGATGGGTACAACCGTTGTTTTTAAACTAGCAAATAAAGTCTTCCCTTCCCTCTTGGAAGCGACCTCAGA